CCAGCTATAAGACAAATTTGAGAACAGGAACCACATCTGCCTGACCCTTCAGAGTTCCCAGTGCAGCATTTTGTTGAGTGTGAGAAGGGGGTTAGGGGTGGGCAACAGCACTCCTAAATGTGTTTTGCTACTAAATGGTTGTCAACTCTAACTAGAACCTTCACCTTCACAATGACCCTGACTGGTTTTAGAGTTAGTGTAAGAAAACCAGGTCTCTGAGAAGCAACTGCTGCTGCTAGCAGAAGACAATGTTGCTTGATCAGGAAGAGAGCCATGGGGGAATGGAGGAAGAGCTGGCCCTGAACCGGGAATTTCAGCAGGATGCCAGAGACCCCACCCCGCAGCCCACTATCAGGACCCAGTCTTCACTCTCCTTGCTGCTCTCAGTCTGACCAGCTGGACACAGCCCCCTCTGCAGGCTGCAGGAGGGGCAGTCCTCATCCCACTGTCTGGGAGGAAACGCAGAACCTCAGGGCTCTCTCTCGTCCGGGACCTGGTTACAGGGTCCTTCTCTCTCTAGAGGGCCAGCACAGTGTTGGCTAAATACTCTTACCTTTGCTTAACATTGTTTCTTTGGGAAAATTCCTTAGTTTGAATGTTTAGCCCATCATCAAATTGAAGCTCCCTGAAATCTTAACCCTAAGGTAAAATATAAAAGCGTTAAAAACTTTAAAATGTTGAAACTAGTAGTAAATGCTATTTAAAGACAATGTTAAAATACTTTTTTTTTTTTTTAAGGCCAATGCTATCTAAAGACTTAATATACGTCCTAAACATCTTGGTATTTTAATAACTGTTAGCTTGAACTCTAGTTCCTTGAGTAGTTCATTGTCAGTTATATGATCAGCACTCTATTGGGTACTTACATCACTCTCAATTAAGATTCTTTATTTTTACTGGCCAAATTTCAGATGAAGGTAAAGCACCTCACACCTGTGCAAACCTGCACTAAATGACTGGAAGGTTACTGTGTGCTAGCAGTTCCTAGCAACACTTTATAACACCTACATAATAGTCTTGAATGCGCCTTTGTCTTTGACTCAACAGCTCAGAGATACCACTTACTTTTATTCTGGTGGGATAAAACATAGTGTTTAAGCAACGGGAGTCTGAGGGATGTTAATTTTATCCATAGTAACAGTAGTAGCCATTTAAAATGAGTGTCTTGCTGCGACTGGTTATTTTTTTTGGGCCTTTTGCTCCACTTTGAGAAGATCACTGATGGGCACCAAAAAGCATTTCCCCGGGTTACATCAATGAGGGTAATCTGTGGACTGTGAGTTAGATCCCTCTCTGTTTTTGCTACTTACAGGTGATGTTAGTTACAGGAGTTTGAATTGGTTGCCCTGTGACCAGTTTGTTAGGCAGTTTGGGAAGAAGCATTTAGAGTTGTACATGTACGTGCAGTGTGCATGGTGAGGTGCTGTACCTCTGGGTGTGGAGCCTTCGTGCTATTCAGAGTTGGGAAGCTGTGCAGACTGAGCCTTGGGTCTGTGATGTGTACAGAAGGGATTCTGTGTACAGAAGGGATTCTATGTACTGTTGTGCTATGTTCTTTTTAATTTTGTCTCTTCCTTTCATCCTTTGGATGCAAAAACAAACTTTAGAGCAGAGACAAAACCCAAAACCAACAAATCACTGTGGCTTTTAGTACTTTATATTGGAAAGGCATTATTTTAATGGATGGCTTTTTATTATCACCGAACAACTAGACTAATTGAATTCCATTTCACCTCTAGAGTGGCTCTTATGAAGACTGATTTAATTCAGTGCTCATATGAACTAGAAGTGGAAATAAGTTGGGTGGGTTAAGGATTAAATAAGAGAACAAAAAAAAGATTAAGGAACCATTTTGAGCATCGATACAAAAAGACCATGGTGACTATAGAAGAGAATTACCTCAATACACTTTACATTTGAGTCTGGAAAATGTTCCAGGAACTTTTTTTTTTTTTGAAAAATTTATTTATTTGTGCATACATAACTGCTGGGGTATAGGCCAGAGGTGCAGGGGCAGTGAGAGGATTCACCAGAGACAGAGTGGGGAGCAGAACAGGCAGTTTGACAAAGTACACTGCTGAGGGGAGCAGGCAAATCAGGAGAAGTCTGCTGTGCCATGTGGGTCACTTCCCTGGCTAAAGTGGCTGCAGCCAGCTTTGTAGTGCTGTTCTTCAGCCCGTTGCTACCAGAGAATTCTCAAGACTTGTAAGTGAAGTGAGATTTTATCCAAAAGAAAGTTTGTTTCACTTTTTCATTTGGTGAATATCCCAATTTTGTTCAGTTTCATAGTGAGATTATGGGGTGACTTTCCTTAATTTTGTTTAGCATTTTAAATGTTATCTGCTTGATAATTAAAAGTCAAAACTGAGCTTAAGCTTTTTGTTCTTTTGTGGTACCCATGCTTTAAATGTGGGCTGAATGACTTTGAGAACCAAGTATGTCAGTGATTTCAAAATTAGGAAAGAAAAGTTTAGCTTTTATATTTGGTACAAACTATAATTGTTTTTTTCTTTTCCTTTTTCATTTACTAGATAAATGATGGAACCCCAGTAAACCAGAGTATCTTTCAAGAAGCATGTTAGCAGGTTAAGAAGATAACAGATGATGTCAGGTAGATGATTGGAGCTGGTGATCAAAGGAGGAAGTTCTAAAGTAGGGAGACTCCTCTAACAGGACAGTTAGGTGTTCTGCATAGAGCAAATGACTCGGGGCTTAAGTGGTGCCAGTCTCTCAGTTTATAACTGTAACTGTTAATCTAAACTTTTACGATATAATATCAGGCCTGCTCCATAAAATGGAGCATAATCAATGTGAGGGATTTTGAGCCAGTATTACGACCTGTTGCTGCCTCATAGCTTGTAACTTTTTTTTTTTTCCTTAATTTATCACTGGCCAAGACTGGCATCCTTCTAGCAACACATGGCTGAGGCTAGTCAGGGCTCTGTTCAAATCCCCACAAACACCTGTGGCCTTGGGCCACTTACTCAGCCTGTCTTAATGGGCAATCTGCCTGCTTTGCATGGTAGGTTTGACGATTAGGATCCATATATGAAAAGTTCATGGTGTGCCCTTTCTCTTTATGCTCAATTCTTTCTCTTTATGCTCATTTAAAGGTAAACTTGCTTTTCACACTTATGAGACAACCATGAAACAACCAGAAAACCATGTTTTCTATTCAGTCAGTTTTTTCTTCAGGAGTCTGGATCTGTAGAAGCTATCTGAGGGGCTGAACTTAACGTTGGGTGCAATTCCATATTCTGCAGCCTACAGTTTTCAGGAACTTGACATTGAGTGACTGTACAGGCGCTAATCTCACATTTCTGACTCATACCTAAATCAAGGAGTACCCATTCTTTGAACTAGGACATTCCAACAGAAGTGAGAAGAATGGGGACTTATGTAAGACAACTCTAGTCAATCCAAGGTGCTGTAACAACTACCATTGACATTTCTTAGATTCTGGAGATTAGGAAGTACTAGACCAAATAGGCAGATTATTCTAAGTAAAAGCCCTCCTCCTCCCTTACAAATGACCATCCTGTCCTTACATGGTGGTAAGGACTATTCTATCCTTACATGCTCATCTCTTCTTAGAAAGGCACTAATCCCATCTTGAAGGCTCCACACTCAAGACCTAATTACCCTAAGTAAACTTGTTTACTTCAAAATAGCATCACATTGGGGATTTAGGGCTTCAGTATATGAATGTGACATACACACTTTATGCACAAACACAAACTTGCACACACTCTGTGGCAGCAGCTAGTAAGTTAACTGAAAGTTTTTTTGTTTAGACCCATCATGCTATTTCCTATGGTTACTAACATTTTTGCCCTTTATAATTAGCTTCCAAATAGCTTCTTGAGCCTATTTCTGTGATAGAGGTGATGCTTTTGGGGACGAGGAGGTATACGTGCAGAAGGGAATAGGCCACAGCAGACCAGCACATACCCTTCAGGGAGAGTGGCCCCGGCCAAGCCCCACAGGACTGGCGCCCCGTTCTTGGCTTCCAGGCCTTTGTTTTTAAGGCTGAGAATTGGGGTTTACATGTGAAATGTCACATAGATAGTGGCTGCATTGTTACTTGCCTTCTTATTTTTAAATATTACAATAAGCCAAACAAAACACGCTGGTCTGCATACTGTTCTGCCAGTGGGGCACTGGTTTGCCTCCTCCTTGTCTTTTGTCTTAGACAATGCAAATGTTTGCCTGAATGATCTAGTTCCATACCTTTTCACTTACATGTGGATAATGTATGTTTTATCTTACTCATAAATTGTAATTCATGTCCTTCACTAATTAAAGCATGCAATTTCAGGAAAAACAAAAACAAGTACTCTTTCTTTGGTATTTAACTCCTGATTTTTAAAGAATTCCACCAGATGTTATAAATGCAGTAGTGCACCTTGAATAGTAAAATTTGTATGGCTTACCACAGGGAAGTTGAATTAAATTATTCTTGACCTAACAAAGTCAAATTGTTAAAACTCCTAAAATAGCTTCTCTACATTGATATTTGTGATTGTGATTTAATAACAAAGGGGTTATTAAATAATTGGTCAGTGAGTTAGGATCCTTTACCTTTGTTAGAATGTCCAGATGACCATTTTCATAGACTTTTTTAGCAAGCCAATTGAGGAAATACATTTCAAAATGCAACGCCTTCTTATAACTGAAATTTGCAGATCCTTCACTTTGAATTACTTCTCTTGAAGTACAGTTTGTCAAAATGAATATCTACACCTTCCATAGGATAGGATATTCAGTAATGCTGAGGAAAGAAGGACTTATAGATTGAGTTCTTGTCTTCAAAAAATGCCATATTAATGGACTGTTTCTCCAGGTTTTCATATTATGCAGATGAATGCTTACCGCATGCTGCAGTGTAAGCAAATATTGCTGTGGATTTGCTCCAATCTTTGTTTCCTGTCTTCTCCTAGAGGTCACACTGAGTTTGAGCCTGAAAAGAATGTTAATCTTACTCTCCTTGATTTTCATAGGTGGAATACATGTTGGTATCTTTTGATCATGAAAATAAAAAAGTCCGGTTGGTCCTGTCTGGAGAGGAAGTTCTTGAGACTCTACAAGAAAAGGGGGAACGGACAAACCCAAAGTAAGCTGATGTACTCAAGGCCTGTTTTGTGGGTCTGAAACTATGAGAACTGTAGATTCTGTCTCAGATGTATAGGTTACAGGCTAGAATAAACAATTCAGAGCTTAGACTCTGTTTCCAAATTTCCTGGGCTCTCATTCTGGTTTCACAGTAACTGGGTAATCTTGGGCAAATTACTTAATGTCACTGTACTTCAGTTTCCTCATCTGAAAAATAGGGGTAGTAGTAATATCTACTTCACCAGCTGTCGGCATTTTAGATACGTTAGTATATTAAAGTACTCAGAACAGTAAACTCAATACAAAACCTGTTTACTCTTACTGAATGTTAAAGAAAGTATTGCTGAAGTATTACTGAGATCACAAAACTTGGTTCCAGATGAAACTTGCAGATAGATTTTGTTTGGCTGGCAAGATATTTGCAAAATGTTTCTTTATTGAAGTAGACAGAGGTGAAAGGGGTATGTACTCTGCAGTTCATTTTTCTACTTGCTGGATTTTGGAAGACTGTATTTGAGTTTGGAAGCCCAACATTGAACGAAAAGAGCCCTTTAAGGCCTCATCTCCTTTCCCTCAAAACAGCTGGTTTACTTACTTGTCTTGAATAGTGAATGCCCTGCGTGTCCATTTTCAGTTACTGATAAATATTTTGAACCTGGTGAAGAATGGTGGAAAATCAGTAGCCTTTGGGAATTGTAAAGAAATTTTTAGCTTCATTTATGCCTAATGATTTCTAAGCATTTTAAAGCAATTTTTAAAAAACTTCAAAAAATTGAATAGACTACAGCAAAAGAATAAGATGAATTTTTTTCCCTCTCTATAGCCATCCTACCCTTTGGAGGCCAGAGTATGGGAGTTACATGATTGAAGGGACACCCGGACAGCCCTATGGAGGAACCATGTCTGAGTTCAACACAGTCGAAGACAACATGAGGAAACGCCGGGAGGAGGCAACATCTTTTTTAGAAAAAGATCAGGCACTTTGCACAATAACTTCATTTCCCAGGTTAGCTCCTGTACATGTGCCCAGCAGACATTGCTGTGTTTTAGGTGATATAGACAGTAAATCATGGTACAAGCAATTGATCCTACAATTCACCCACTTTGCATTTAGTTAATGCTTATATATGGTGATTAACAGAATGTACACTAGAGGCAGAAACTGCATTCCAGCTTCAATAGATGGGTGGTAGCCAGAGCTCTGTGGGAAACTCTTGTGTAAACTCAGTGGGGAGGACCACCAGGACTGCTCAGCAGTGAGGCAACCCTTGAGTGGGGAGAGTGGGATATTATCTGTGCACAGTTCTGACCCTTTGAGGAATAGTCTAGTCTCCCAGTGAACACAGGCACTCTTGTCACTCAGCTGTAACAGCTGCTCCCGCTGGTGAGTGTTGGCTTTGGTGCCAGATGCGAGGACACCTATTGGAGGGCTGCTGTTAGTGCTCCTGGTTGCTGTCAACACAGGTGGACTGTGAATAGGGCAGCCATTGGTCACATTTGGATATTATGCTGAAAAGAAAACTCAGTTTATTATCAAATCCAGTTACAGCTAAAAGTTCACAAAAGTAAAATAATCAATAAAATTATGTTCTTAACTTAGAATGAGATACAGAATTACCATGTGATTATATGTGGTACCCAACAAAGAATGCAGTTGCACTAAATCATAAATCTGACTTACCTATGCTAAGTGTTTGTCAGATTGTGAGAAAATATACTTTTATCTCTTCAAAGTTCAAAGGGGCTTTGGAGATTGGTATCCATGGCCAAGACCACTTTGAACTACTTCAACACTGTGTTTTCTGGTCCTGATAAATGTCCATAAATAACAGGATTCCGAGTCCTATCATTGATTTTAGAAGGACACTTAAGTGGGAATTTTCTTTTTGAAAATCTTCATTGAAACATTTAAATAATTAAAACCTTATTTAAGCAACTCATCAAACATTTAGAAGTATCTCATATTCTGTGATTCCTTTGTTCAATTTGTGTAGGCCACTCCCATCTCCTTATCGGAAAAGGAAAACCCAGCTGGGTAAGGTTGGGCAGGTTTGCTTGGAAGAGAGTACATTTCTTTTCCCTAATATTTTAAGGAGTTGGCCAAAAATATGACTGACATTCACTCAGTCCTTTGAGCACCTGCTCCACAGCAGACCCTGAGGTGTAGGCAGGTACAGGCTTTGCTCTTCATGAAGTAGGGCTAAAGAGAGAGAGTAGCCATACCCACAGAGCCGGAGAATATGAAGTTGGGTCAGTGCTATGAGGAAGAAGTGTGGAACACAATGAGTGAGCCATGGTTGTCTGATGGACTCTGGAGAGGAGCTTCTCCCAAGGAAGACCATTGGAATGAGGTTCACAGTTGGAACAGGAGTTTAATGGGTTGAGGAGGATCAAAAGTCCTGGGATTAGCAGGCGTACATGGAGCCTCCTGAGACCGAGAGCTGGTCACTGTGCTGGGGTTGTCAAGGTTGAAGCACCACGGAAGGAGTCTGGTCAGGTGAGTTGGCAGGCCAGGTCATGTAAATGAAGAATTCGGTTGCTTCCAAAGGCAGGAGGCAGCCTTGGGGAGGCTGGCTGAAGTGAAAGCATCGGATGTTTCTTTTGGCCCTCACCTGGGCTGTAGTATGAGCATGGCTGCAGAATGGATGCTTACTAGCTGAGGAGTGGGGACTCACTTAGGGGAAATGATTATTTGGGCAGGACGGAGAAGGTGGATGCACCAAGGGATGGCAAAATCAGCAGACCTGGGGGTAGAAAAATGATACGTAAAGGCTGTTGATACAGGTAATTATTGTATATTATTAACAAGAAGAATTCTTGTAGTAACAAGAAGAATATATTTCAGATATTTTACAACTTCTAGTGAACCAGAAAATTCAGGGTTTTTTTCTTTCATTAACCATTAAGAAAGTTGTACACTTACAAAGCTACAATTACAAACTATAAACCTAAGTTTTTTCTTTTTAATTTGTAACACAAACCAGAAGACATTTATCTTAACACTTTTCTCTTTTAAAATTTAGGAATGTATAGTATTGACAGTAGCAGTTCTTACAGGGCTATGTGTTCGGTTACCTAATGTGTCTTTTACTTTAAGAATGACTTCGTGGAATAGTTGCCTTTAAAAAAAAAATTAGGTTAATATGAAGAAACAGTTGAGACAAAAGAGCAAGATTTATTAAAAAAAAAATCTCAACTTTTTTTTAAAAGTCTAGTCATGTATTTAATGATGGAGGGTGTTTTTTGGACTTGGGAACAGCAGTAAGAATAATTAGCTGTAGAAACCTTACCTTCTAGCCATGGTAAGGGAAAAGAAAAGTATTACTGTGTTTTGAAATCCAGAAGGAAAGGCATGCTTGGTTTCTTTTGTAAACTGATTATTTTATGTAGTGGATTCTGCAGTCTCATACAGTGACCATGCAACATGTACATTTGTATTAAACTGAAATAAAATGAAAAATTAAGTTCCTCAGTCACATTTCAAGTGCCCAGCACAGGCAGTAAACATCCACGTTGCTGCAAAAGGTGCTCTTGCACAGAGCTCACCTGGAAGGAAAGAAGTGCCTTGGGGTCCTTCCTACCACACATCCTTCCTACTGAGAAAAACGCGTCTTCTCTGGAATTCTCGTTGGTTAAGAATCCCTCAGATTTCAGTTCAGTTCGTAACTCTCCTAAAGGACTCATCCTGAGGTTGCAGGCTTACAATAAATAATGCACAGAGAGCAGCAAGCGCTCCCAGGAACCTTTCGTAGGACTGGGAACTGTTTTCCAGATAAGATCAGCAAATTCAATTGTTCACAAGTCAGATTTAGTCAGCAATAGGTATTTTATTTTATAAAAGGTAGGGTTGAAACAAGGCATGGCTTAGTCTTGGCTCTAAGCCATGTTTCCTAACCACTGGTCTGAGTCCTGACAAGACCCTCCCTTGTTTTGCTTCCACTAACATTGTTGGTCTTTGTCCTCCCTCACTGCACACTTAACAATGACCTTAAAATTCTTGACTTGGGAAAACTGGTATCATCACTGCAAGTAATGTGGAGTTTAAGCTTTATATTTAGGAATAAATACAATGTTATCTGTGTGCTGGAATGAAAGTTCTTCTTTAGTTCAAGTATGAGATAATAGGGCTGGGCTGTAGACTGCAGGGCATGATCTCTGGGGATAGATACCTGTGGAGAGACTACCTAATCTTGAGGGATTCTAAGGTAAACTGCAGTGACAAAAAAATGGGGGGACAGGAGACCTCATCCAAATTCAAACAAAGCTTGTCAGCAGGTTGGGGGCAATGGTGAGGTGCAGAGATCAAAAGATAATCTGAGTTTAGAGTTGTTAGAGGGGATGTCTCAAAAGCTGCCTGGAGGAACCCTCTAACCCTGGAGAATTCGCACAACCAAAAGAAGAGACTTCTGTGCTGTAGGTCCTTGTGGTGAGGTGGAGGGAGGGATAGGATGCAGATACTTTGTAGATAATGAGTGAAGCTCCCAGGTAAAATCAGTGCAGGTGACTTAAATCAGAGAGCTTGGCGAGTGAGATAAAGTGCGAGGGTATTGGGGGTGGTTGTAAAGGGGCATAGTACTTACTGAAGGTTTGTATGCTGGAGCCTCAAGGGGATCACAGACGTGAGATGATTTTTAACAGGTGGTGATGGTGAGACATAATTAATTCCTGAAAACAAATACCATCGATTTAGTTGTTCAATTTGTTGTAGATTAGGCTGTCCAGGGTTCACGCTGCCCGAGTTCAAGCCCAACCCGGTTGAAGGAAGCGCTTCCAAGTCTCTCTTCTTCCCTGATGAGGCAATAAACAAGCACCCCCGCTTCAGGTGAGTGTGACTGTTTAAACACAGGTGTCCTTCCTTCAGCACTGGAATCCTTCCTGAGCATCTACTGAAGTCAGGCTTGTTTCAAAATTACCCAGGGATGACAACACATACATATAATTATGAATATTAATAAGTATGTTTATACACTTGGCCCCCAAAAGACTGCTTGTCATTTCTTGTATCCTAGCCTGCCTTAGGTGTGTTTTCCAAGTCATTAGGTTGCCACTGTCTTTTCCTTAAACAAACAGATTGTTTTCAGCTCTGGTTTTGTAAATACCTGCTTGGGGGACATTCCCTTAGTTATTCCTGCCTTTTTCTCCCTGTGCAAGTTAACACCAGTTATCTACTCATCACAATCTACATACCCTGGCAATCGGTGATAGGAACAGCACCTGTTACTTAAGAGGCACTCTCTACCTTCTCCTGTTGACATCTAGATCTGCTAATTTGTAGTTTAATTCCTGAATTTTAAATCACTTCAACATTTACACTGGCCTTTGTACCTTGAGTCTCACCTGTCATTCTGAATCTGGGATCCTGACCTAGAGTCAGGGATTTTTGGGAATTCGTGTTCAGTCTTTTAACAGTCCTGCACATCTGCTACATGCAGAGTCTCCTAGGGAGGACTTTTAGGTAAAGTTCCCAAGCTGCAAATGGTATGGCATACTAAGGAGAAAGCAGACATTCGGCCTCAAGAAAAGATAGAGTATGATGGATGTCAAAGATGGTTAATACCAGAGAATCTCCATGGAAAAGGAGGGTGCTTGTCACTAATGGGAGCAAGGCAGTCTTCCTGAAGCTGGTGGTATTTAAATTGAGTTTACAGCAGCAGGATCCAATTGCAAGCTGCAAAAGTAACTTAAAATTTTCTAGTAGCCATGTTTTAAAAAAGCCAAAAAGTGAATTTAATTTTTTTAAAGATTTATTTATGCATACAGAACATCCAGGGGTGTGGGCGGCTGAGAGGAGTCACTAGAGACAGTGGAGAGCAGAGCAGGCAGATGTACTGAAATACACTGCTGAGGGGAGCAGCAGGCAAGGCAGGAGATGCCTGATAAGCCATGTGGGTCAGCTCCCTGGCCAGGGATCAACTTGGGCTAAAGTGGCTGCTGTTAGCTTCATAGTGCTGTGCTTTAACCCTTTGTGCCACCAGAGAGGTCCCAATATGAATTTAATTTTATAGTATATTTTACCTAACACTATACATCCAAAGTCATTTCAACATGTAATCAATACTTAAGTCATTAGGAAAATTAATTTTTATACAAAGTTATCAAAATCTGTTGTATATTTTACCCTCGTCGCATATGTTACTTAGGACTAGCCACATGTTAGGTGGGTGCTCAGTAGCCAGAATGTTGCCGGTAGCTATTGGATCTGACATCACAGGTCTAGAGGGTAAGTATTAAGGCGGCAGTTTGAAAGGAGGAAGCAGTAATATGGTATTGGAATTCCAGAGACACCCAGAGGAAGTGAGTATTGGCTTGACTTATAGTCTTTGGCGTTAACATCGGAAGTGTTAGGGTGAGATCAGACAGTGACAGACCCCAACTGCTTGAACTTGTTTTGGTGAGTTGCCTAGAGTCAAGAAAGCAGGGGTTGAGGGTAGAGAATGGCATTCTCCCAGAATGCCAAAGGAAGTAAAGTGTCAATTTGCATTAATATGCAAAGCCTCCTTTCAGAAGCTTCCCTCAACACCTTGATTCACATTTATTTTCTATGAGGCCATCTTAAAAACTTAGTTTAAGGAGGGATTTCAACCCATTTATTTGCATATAGCCAATGTCTTTTTGTAGGGTGGCACTTAGGTGACTGATTTATGATCTTTGGTTGTCTGTTTTAGTACCTTAACAAGAAATATCCGACACAGGAGGGGAGAGAAGGTTGTCATCAATGTACCAAGTAAGTCTGTAGAGAGGTGGGAGGAATGCCTGTTTGAGGAGTTGTTGTTCAATACCTGACTCTAACCCATTTCCTTTTTTTAATATAGTATTTAAAGACAAGAATACACCATCTCCATTTATAGAAACATTTCCTGAGGATGATGAGGCAGCAAAGGCTTCTAAGCCTGATCACATTTACATGGATGCCATGGGATTTGGGATGGGCAATTGTTGTCTCCAGGTAATGTTTGAAATACCCACAGTGGCAAAGTGTCCTCGTACATTTCTACTCATGTGCATGTTTCCTGTAAAAAAAAAAAAAAAAAAATCCTAATCAGATTGAAATGATAGCACTGGTATACTTTTCTGAAAACCTCTGAAATTACTTCACTAAATCCATTGAAAGTTGATTTTTGAAAATGAGCTCAAAGGGATGTACTCCAATACTTTTGTGATCTAAAGGACGAATTATTTGTACTTTTAAATTTTCACATTCATGTCGGAACTTCTAGCCATATGAAAAAATAGCAGCTTGGGTTCACTTGCCCCTGGCAAAGTTACACAGGGGGTAGAATAGCCTTTCTCTGTTTACTTGGTTAAAACTTTGCCTGGACTTAATCAGATTACTAGTGCCCGGGGCAGTGATTGTGCCTAGACTCACTCAGGACCTGGGCAGGAGAGCACAGAGCCTATTAGGCAGCCAGGAGCTTGCATTAGGATTTGGCCAGCACTAGTCTGGTAATAGGGTAACTCCCCCTCATTTTGGCCTCAGTTTTCTTAACAGTTAAAAGAGGGGTTTGTTTTAGGTTCCTTTCAGGTATGAGTCTAAGCTAATGTGCATTTCATTGTTTTTATTAACAGAAGTACTTGTCTTCGCCTTTAATTTGTTTAAAATCATGTTAGGACAGGAGTGGGAGTTGCACAAAATGTAAAATTGAGAATTTCAAATGAAAAAAAGAGGCCTGTTATCATCCAAGGAGTTCTGTTCTGTTCACTTGGACTGATTAGAAACACTGTCCTTATAGGCCTAGAGGTGTGCAAAGCCTGCCCTCAGTGGGAGGCCCACTGGGCCACCAGCCAGAGTTCTCAAAGGGGCCAAGAAGCCCAGCCTGGCTCACACAGTATAATAGCTACAATGTCAACACGTGCCTTCCTGCACAGAGGCCTTGGGTGTGTTTATTTTTACACCTACATATAACCAAAATTGAATACCCAAGTTCAGTTTTCCCATGTGTTTAAGTGGGTGTGGCCACAGATAAAATCGCCTGCTTTCCTGGCTTTCATAGGTAATATTAAAAAAATGTATCTCCCAATGTTGGTCAGTAAGTTTCCTTAACAGATGGCCATACTTTATGACTTGTTAATTGCAAATCTACTTTCTTATCTTAACTGCAAATAATTTCCAAAGAACTAGTTAGCCCTGAAACATAAGAGTACATGGCTTTAACATTGTATCGTGCTGTTGGAATGCCAATCACTTTTCTTCCATTTAATACTAAGTCAGGTGTGCTGTCAGGATAGCACAGTAGTGCCTTACCAAAGAAGTATTCTTTCTCTTGAAATACTGTTTATAGAAATACTGTGTTTTAATCTTAGGTAGCCAACATTTTTAGTGTCTGAGGACACAATTTCCCATCCAATTGAAGTGTTGTCGTGAGTTTAGGAAGTTTTCTTCTTGGTGGCATGTCTAGCAACCCCATTTCAACATTTCACTTAAAATCATTGGCACAGATAACGTGAAGGTGTGGCAGATGAGTCACAGTGATCCCTGTTCTGTATCCCTTAAGTGTAACACTAGTAATGCCTTGCTTTATTTCAATAAAGTAGGAAAAATAGTGTAATTTTAAAGGTTAATGGAAAACAGCGTACAGAGCGAAACGCATTTTAACCACAGTCAAATTATTAACTCTTGGGGTACCTTTCAGGAATCATTAATTAGCTCATGTCAGGAAGTTCACACGTATGTACTCAGTCACCCTTCCCTCCTTTGAAAAGCATGTGAATTTGAAACTGGGTTCTAGATAAATTTTAGGTGTGATACTTAAGTCTCTAACATATATTTTTCATATTTCCCCTTTAGTTTTCCACCAGTTTCCTGGTGACACTGCTTTTCTTTATATATTTTAAAGGACACCAAAAGCCCAAACTGTTAATTGATATATATAATGAATATATATAAGAACTTTTTCCTTCCCAGTTATATTCACAGTGATAATTGATTTGGTAATGGATATATCAATCGTAGAGTAGGGAAGCTAGGGAATAATATATTTAGAATAGCTTACTGAATATATTTAGAATAACAAAGTCTCTTCCCTGTTGTAGCCCAACTTCTGAATTCTAGTTTACTGATTTCCTTAAACATATTTTTCTAGGATTTGCAGTTATTACAAATGTGTTAACATAAACATGATTTGTGTTCCCTGCCCCTTCTACTGCTTCCCATCCCAGAGAAGACTGGGTGCCCCTTAGGTAGTTGTTTTGAGAGGACTTATATTAATTATGAGATCTTTTGCTCTGCCTAACTTAAATATCCTATTTACCCTACTCAAGCTCTGTTCATTTTCAGGGTGTCATCAGTGCCTACTTCCCAAGTATTTCACCAGCTCAGACTTTTCTAGGCACCATCCCTGGATACCCCGCCACTTAGAATGCTACTTTGTTCATTCGTTGGCTTCCTAAGCCCTTTGGTGCCTCTACTTCTGTCTGCCCTTGGAAGCCACTCAAGCCATAACTTAAGTCATGCCCTCACTCTCCACCCAAGGGGTCACCAGAACCTGCTCCTTTGGTTCTGGAGTGAGTCTTCACTAGCCCTCCTCAACTTTTCCCTTGAGAGGTATTGTGTCTTAACTGTTCTCCCTGACCCAGTTTTGCCCCCTTCCAAACTATTCCCCGTACTTCTACCAGTGAGCTTTAAAACCCATTGTTAGTAACACCAAGTCATCTTTGAACCAAAGTTTGTATTATTCCCCAGCTAACTGGAGTCAGTGGGGAACTACGGAAGGAAATAAACCAGTAAAAAAAGTGCCTGGCTGAACTTTACCATTTATCAAACATCTTATTTTTTTCCTCCTGACTTCTTAATATTATTTAACTTAGGAATATATTTACTTATATTAATTGTGTATATATATATTGGAACATGACTGAATAAAATTTTTTTTAAAGCAAAGTTCATCCAAGATAATCTTTAAACAAAATTCCTAGTTAAATGTTTTCACCAGTGGAATGCCCATCACAGACCAGGCACCCTCTCTTCTCCTTCTCCAACTTCCTTCTCAGACTTTACCCTTGGGGATGCCTTGAAGTGAATGAACCTTTGTTACTGTTAATACCTTGCAATTCTTAAATAGGTAACATTCCAAGCCTGCAGCATATCTGAGGCCAGATACCTGTATGATCAGTTGGCTACTATCTGCCCAATTGTTGTAAGTAGAACTTTATTTAAATCCTTATTTGTGTAAAGACTGTATGTGCAAAATTTATTGTGTGCTAGTCAGGAGTTTAAGACTTCGTTATAGAAATGAGCATAAACATCAATGGTATACGGATTTAGCACTAAAGCTAACTCTAAGCAGCAGAGGTTACTGCTGTCAGTAAGACATTTACTAAAGTGTCAGGTGTAAATTGTCATTTTCCCTTCCCCATGTTTCATGTCTCCATAGTATAGAGAGACTTACATGTGCAAAATCCAAGTACCTGAGCCTGCTGTATTTTGTGATGAGAAAGCAGGCACAGGTAGAAACTTTGCAGAAATTGTAGAAACTGATTCTTGAAAGAAAGAGATTTGCATGGAGCTTTTTCCAGCGTGTAAGTGCAGAAGGTGCTGACTTGTGTTTGTTTCTAGATGGCTTTGAGTGCTGCATCTCCTTTCTACCGTGGCTATGTGTCAGACATTGATTGTCGCTGGGGAGTGATTTCTGCATCTGTTGATGATAGAACTCGGGAAGAGCGAGGTCTGGAGGTGGGAATAACTTTCCTTACTAGCCCTTTTAAATCAAGAAGGTAAAACAGGGTTATTTTAGCTATTTGAAGTCTTTTAAGTTTTTATCCTCAGTAGATCAATCATACATGACAAGAAATTCACAAGTCATAAACCTGTCTTTATTTCTGGTCTTTGGTTTCACAGTGTTTATTGCAGAGTGAATTATGTATGTGGTTTGGTTTGACTTGTGTCTTTGTGTTAACTTCTAAAATTAATAGTACCGTTTTCTTTTATTTTGGAAGTTAGTGTTTCATGGCTGTCTGTACCAAATGGATTTTTAGAACCTCGTGAGTGCTATGCGTATGATACATTCTGCTGTGGAATGTATAACTAGTTGTTAGATTCTTTTGTCTATATAAAGGTTTACATTTTGCCAGGGAAGGCAGTGCCTCTTGTTTACTGGTTAAACTGTGACCCTGTATCTTGCCAAGCAAAAGTGTGCATCAGAACAACATGCATGCACCCCTAACAATATAGACTACCAGTCCTAATAAATAAATCTCTTGGGACTTGGATCTAGATATAATGCTTTCAAAAGAGGCCTTACACGTGATTCTACCAGTGCTCTGATCTTTTTGTAATTATTCATTAATTGTTGAACATGCTTTCAACTTTCTAAAAAATTTTTTAAAAATTTATGCATACAAGAACTGGGGTATGGGTCAGAGGCATGGGGCATGGGCTGGTAAGAGGATTCCCCAGAGACAGAGTGAGGAGCAGAACAGGCAGACTGACTGACTGAAATACACTGCTGAGGGGAGCAGCGGAAGGGTCATGAGAAGTCTGCTGGGCCATGTGGGTCAGCTCCCTGGTCAGGGATCGAACATAAGCTGCAGTAGCTGCAGTTAGCTTCTTTGTGCTGCGCTTTTTTAACCTCTTGCACTACCAGGGAGGGCCCACTTTCAGCTTTAAATAAATAAACTTTAAAGAATAAGTCATTTGATAGCCTCATTTTATTTGGGCATTTATTTTCCTAGTTTAGTAAAGATGAAAACGGTGTGCTAAAAATAAATGTGTAAACCACCTTAACTCATACCAGAGAAAAATCTACTTAAAGTGCCTCCAGATATTGTAATATAATTTCTCCTGATGATGCTTTTCAGGGTTAACATGGTTTTTTTTTAGGATCTTATGTTAAAATTGATGTTCTTATATAGTTACCATATGTAAAATATATAGCTTTTTAATACAGTTAATTGGGGCATTTACTCCAGATCATTTAATATGGCATTCATTCTTTTTTTTTTTTTTTCAATTTTAGCCACTGAAGAACAATAACTATAGGATTAGTAAATCCCGATATGATTCAATAGACAGTTATTTATCTGAGTGTGGTGAGAAATATAATGACATCGAGTTAACAATTGATAAAGAAATCTATCAACAGCTGCTACAGGAAGGTAAGTAAGCTTTTATTCTTTTTTTTTTAGATTTCATGATACACCTTTGCTTCTTCAAAGCTCCTTTAAACTTTGTTGCTGACATCTGGTCTGGTTTCTGTTTTTAGTATGAAGTCGCTAACTTTTCTTATGAGGCTGCTTATTCCTAAAATTTCAAGTTACAAATACTTGTGTGATCTTCTTGACTTCTAGCAAAAGGGTCTTACTTTGGAGGTGTCTATCTAGGCCCACACCAGTGCCCAGCAGGCCTTGTGTGAGTAACCGATTAAAACATTTGACACTTGCCCAGTGTCCACAGGATTAAATCCTGGTCCAAATGACAACAGGCAGTAAGCCAGCCATTTCTAAGTTTTTTAGATACTCTTTCTTCAAACCTCCTGGGCTGTGTTGTCTTCTTACTGGGTTAGCAGACAAAGATGATAGAGTGTTGAGATTTGATGTGAGACCTGCATGGCTTCTCTTCATAGGTATTGATCACCTCCTGGCTCAGCACGTTGCTCACCTCTTTATTAGAGACCCACTGACTCTGTTTGAAGAAAAAATACACCTCGATGATGCCAATGAGTCTGATCATTTTGAGGTAGGTACCTTTCCAGTGTTAAATGCATTTAAATGCCAAGATGGAGGCAGTTTTGTGTACCTGCAAGGAATTAGTGATACTGGAAATCTCATAATCTCACATGCCTTTTATTACCCAGTATAGTAAAGAATTAAGAAAAATTTTAAATTGGTTTAAAGTACCCTTATTTTGTGATTCTTAGTGGTTATAGGTCCAGTTCTGATTTTTTCCCCTATTTTCCCTTTTTTTTTGCACAAATGCAAGCATGCTGCACAAAAACAAAAATGACCAGTTATTTCAGTGCTGCCATGTGTCATACCTTTTCTATTAAACATTTGCTGATGTTTTTCTAGCAGGCCACATACCAGGGAAATGTTAACTTGTACCTTTGTTATATTTATAAATTGAAAAGTATTTGATATGAACATTGAATACTCTTCTTCTATTAAATATCAGCTCATCCTGCTGTTTTCCTGGATGTGTGGAAAATTGGTTTTGTTCTCTCCTTTTGTGTTTCAGAATATTCAGTCAACAAACTGGCAGACAATGAGATTCAAGCCCCCTCCTCCAAACTCAGATATTGGGTGGAGAGTAGAATTTCGACCCATGGAGGTAAGACATACACATTGACTTGAACTGACCCAAAACAACCACCATCCTACTGCCCTTCAAATTTCTGAAGCTCTTACTAGAGGCTCTTGAAGTCAGTGAAAGGCAATATAAAACAAGTTGTACATGTTAAAAGCAAGTTACAAAGCTAAGGAGGACTGATTACTGAGAATAGATAGTGAGGGTATGAGAGGGCACAAGAGAGACTTGGGAGGGACCTGTCGGGAAGGTCAGGTGTCTCTGCTTAGTGTGTAACTTCTCTTGGCCTCTGTTTAGGTTCAGTTGACAGATTTTGAGAATTCTGCATATGTGGTGTTTGTGGTGCTGCTTACTAGAGTGATTCTTTCATACAAGTTGGATTTTCTCATTCCACTGTCAAAGGTAGGAATGCGTTTCGCTAAATTGGTGAACATAGATTATCTGTAGCTCACTTTATGTATATTTATTTCAAATCTGACCTCACTGAAAATTGTTCATCCTGGCACACAGGTAACTCGGTGATGGGAAACCTATGGGGATTACAATTGAGATTAAAAAAAAAAAAAAGTACAAAATGATGTAAAAATAAACTATTATATTATAAAAAATAAATTAATTTAAAAAAAAGAAAGTTGTTCATCCTATGGAACTAAACTTCCATCCTATCTTTTCTTTCTAAGTTTATTCTATAGGTTTTGGTATTATGTTGGTGGATTCCTAATAGTAGCTACTTACTCAGCCAATTTAAGAGCAATTCAGATTGCATTTGAAAAAACACTTTATTTCCAGAGATTTTCAATTCAAGGTGATAGCTGGAGTCATCCCCACAAACTGATTTTTTCCTCTCAGAAATCCCATTTTGGTTACCATATTAAACCTAGGGTGGGAGGGGGGAAATGGATTTGAAGTAGAGGTGTTTGTAGAGACTGTAGATGGCACTGAAAACAAATTTGAGTTACTTAGCCCAGCCCAACACAAACCAGAAAGGTGCTTTGCTGGCAGAGTCTTGAAAGAGTTCCAGCTTGTGAGGGAGCAAAGCTTTGGGCCTGGGGCAGTGGCTAAGGAGAGGCCTTTGTTTCCTAGGCCTGTGATTCTCCTGGCAGAGTGACCAGACAAGGCTGCTAGGCAGAAAGAGAGGTCTGCTAAGGTTTTAGGACCAGGGAAAAGAAGCAAAGCATGTCTGTGACACAGAGAGCATGGAAGAAGGAATGAATCTGACTAGCCCAGATTCTGCTCCCAAGATACCTCATTCCCTACTACCTGCATAAATGGGATCTCCAGCCTGCACTGGTCCCACCCAAAGACTGTAAAAGGAAGCCTAGCCAGCAGTCTGCTTATCAGATCCAGACCAGAAATAACAAAGATATACAAGTTGCCCGTATAGGTTTAAAAACTGCTGGGGGAAATCAGCTCACCTAAGGCAGAATCCTTGTCTAAATTTTGTTTACACATATATGAATAGATACCTGAAAATCAATAGAAATTGAGTGCTTTTAATAGCTCTAAAGAGAAGGGCCCCAGTTGGGTCTACAGAGTTTATTATCTTTAGTGAAACACTTTCAAAACAAATAAATATTGAAAGACAAAAATGTAGGAATGCTAATCAAACTACAATAATTAATTGAGGGATACATTTAAAAATATATATATTGAAAGTGACACCGAAGACAAAAAATATGGTGGGGGGGAAAGGTGGGAAGCAAAAATATAGAATTTTATGAGTTCAAAATTAAGTTACTGTTAACTGAAAACAGACTGTTAAATACATAGGATATCTGTTACATGTCCACGTCCAGGTAACCATAAAGCAAAAAGCATATTAGAAACACACCAGCAGTATCTAAATACTACATTGAAGAAGGATGTCAGACTACAAGATTGCAAGGGTAAACAAAGGAACTACAGCCACGAATTAAAAATTAACAACAGAAATTAATAAAATGGCAGTAGTACATATGTATTGATAATTGCTTTAAATGTAAAATGGACTAAATTTCCCCAATCTTTGAGTAAGTCACTGGAGGTGGGCTGACAAGATTGGTGACCTTCTGTGCCTGGAGGGCTGACCTTATTCCAGAGCTGACAACCTGCTGGCTTTCCCCCTTTATTGCAAAATGAGGTCCCAAGGCCCCCATGGCAGGGAAGGTAGGGTGCTGCACTAGAAGCCAGGAGAACTTGGCCCTGCCCTGCTTGACCTGTGACTTGGAGTAAGTGATTGTGCCCTGCAAGAGGCAAACCACTGGCCTGGGCTCTCTCACAAAGGTGATTTGAACTACAGATCGCCTACATGGCTAAGTTCGTGCCTTGTTTTTTAAGATAAATGTCTCAGAATCCCCCAATCATTGTTATAAAGTACCTCAGTCTGAGAGACATAGACCCACATAAATGCAAAGTCTGTTCTTGCAAACTAGGAAGTATGGAGAGGGGTCGAGTCACTAGCAATGTGCCCTAATTGCAGTAGTCAAGAAGGAGCTAAACTTCTGTGTTAGGTGAAGAATGTTTTGTCTTAGCAGTGAATATTTTTCTTCCGTAGGTTGATGAAAACATGAAGGTAGCACAGAAACGAGATGCTGTCTTACGGGGAATGTTTTATTTCAGGAAGGATATTTGCAAAGGTACCACATTTTCTTGGATTTCTAGGGTCATCTGAGACTTTGACAGGCCACTAAAGACCCCTGCTCTCTGCCCTGGCAGGTGGCAACGCCATGGTGGATGGCTGCGGCCAGGCCCGGAACAGCACGGAGCTGGCAGCAGAGGAGTACACACTGATGAGCATAGACACCATCATCAACGGGAAGGTGGGGCCCCACAGCACACGCCACAACTTATATCTACAGGCCCCCGGGGGGGTAACCATGTGTCCTGTTTCTTGTAGGAAGGGGTGTTTCCTGGACTGATCCCAATCCTGAACTCTTACCTGGAAAACATGGAAGTGGATGTGGACACCAGATGTAGTATTCTGAAATACCTGAAGCTCATTAAGAAGAGAGCATCAGGTGTGGTGTTTCAGCTTTTCTTACTCCCAATCTTCCAGTACTGTTTCTTAAAGTAATCTCTTCAACCATGCCACATTTTATCAGTGCTCACCTTTTCACATGTGACACCTCTGCGATTGGATACACATCCTAATATTTGTCAGTCAGTTTGATTAATAATATTTTGTTCTTACCAATTCATGGGAACAGTGGTGCATCTTTATGTCAACGGTATCTCAGATGATGGCATCTGGATGGCCCAGTTGTCACATGTCCAACTGGTTCATTGATGGTCATGGCTCCTTTTATACGGTAGAGTAAACTATACGTTCAACAAACAGCACACCTAAGATGCCTTGTTTTTCAGCCTGTGTCCATCCAGTGGCCACTGAAGGAATCCCCTTTATTAGCTTAGAGGAGACAGCACTGATGTTGTCAGATAAGCCTGGTCGAAGGGAGCAGCAGCCACGATGCTTGTGGCATCTGTATTTCTCTTGAGGCATCTGTAACCTTTTTGGAGACACAAGAGATAAACCCCTCAAATGATATATCTGCCGGTTTCTCTTTTCATTTACTCTGCTTACTGTTGTTTATTCTTTGATAAAGGTTGACCCTGGGAAACTGAGGACCCTAGTGCCCCCTGAGGCAGTCTCATGACCCTGGCTTATGTGATCTTAGCTTGCTAGCTATGCGGGAGAGCACAGGCTCTCGTACGTGTGCTGGCTTCCTTTTTTCAGGAGCTGGCATTGTGGTGTATGAGGAGCTTCTAATAGCTACCATAGCTTGTTCCCATTGCCTGTCCCCACCTTAAAATTCTTACCCTAGGAGTAAGACTTCATACATGAGGAACCGTGGCTACATAAACAGGTTGTACTGATTTTTTTCGTCGAGATTGTGTTTATGAAACACTTCTATTAACTTATGTGTATTCTTTTTTCTTTAGGGGAACTAATGACTGTTGCCAAATGGATGAGGGAGTTTATCGCAAACCATCCTGACTATAAGCAAGACAGTGTGATAACTGATGAAATGAACTATAGCCTTATTTCTAAGTGTGACCAAATTGCAAGGGAATCATGTGAATGCCCAGAGTTACTTGGACCAGCATTTAGGAAAGTAAAATACAGCGGAAGTAAAACTGACTCTTCCAACTAGCTGTCCGGGGGAAGGAGAAATCTGTTGCTGTGTGTAGTAGAACACTGTGGAGCTCCAGCCCATATGTCGGTGTGAAGACCAAACAATAGAACTCTGTTTCTGGGCCAGTCCACCAGACCTGGATTTAAGCCTGCCTAAAGTAGGTAAATATAGAGTTTATACAGTGTACATAGTAAAGTATTTTTATGATTAACAATGTATTTTAATAACATTGTATCTAAAGTCCTTGTGAACTGGCTTGTACATTTTTCAATTCTTACTCTGGAACACCTACTGTCTAAGCAGTTTGTAAATGTAACGTGCTGGTAATTGTACTATTCCTGCATTCCAGAGTTTAAAATGTTTACTGTAAAAAAATTTTGAGACTACCTGGGACCTGATTCACTGAAATTTATCACTTCACTTTAAAAAGTTTGTCTTGTTGATTTTCTTTGAGTCATCTCCTTTGTTATATACATAAAATCACTATTAATCCACTGAAGTGCTTCAAGGATGATCTTGGATTTCTGGCACCTTATCTGAGACATTTTCTTGCAATCAGAATAGCTGCCTATGTGTGCAGCACCAGGTGAAACCCACCAAACTGATGGCTGTTATGATAGGTACTTTTGTTCTTTGTTTAGATTTGCTGATCCAGGCATAAGTTCAAAGACAACTCTGTAGGAGTAAGGACAATTACGACGGAGTTCACGAGTAGTGATTTTTTTTTTTAATGAAAAAAGGGAGGGAATTATTAAAAGAATTGGAGAAGAATCATTTTTCTTCCTGTACATATCAAGAATATTGTCAAAAAAAACACCACCTCTTCTGTTGTAGTCCCCATTTATTCTGACTGCTACTATTTTCAAATCAAATATAGTTGCTTGGGTTTTTCATTTTCAGTTTCCAGTAAATATATTCACACTCTTCGAAAAGCCATTTACTGCTACATTTGACCTGGGAATATTCTACAGCTGCTTATGAAACCCAAATAAATCATGATATATGCACTAAGTGAATCAGGACCCTGAATGTTGAATTGTAAATAATTTAAGTTTCCGTAATTGTTAGATCTTTTTGTTGATGTTATTTTTCAGTTAAGTCTTAACTATTTCTGAAATAACTATGTATAGATTATGCAAATCTTTACAGGCATATTTAAATTGTAATGCTAATTTCAAGAGATTTTGACAAAGCTGCTTCAGCTAAGCTTCTTTATGTATAAAAACTAGATTGTGTTATATTTCATACAGTATTTCAGAGGACTAAAGGAAATGCCTGTTTTTCATTTGCAATATGCTTATGTAAATCAGGATGTAAAAAGGCAGATGAACTGGTGTGAGGAAATAAAATGGAACTAGCATTCTAAGAATTTGAATGTGTGAGTTCTACATCTCCAAGATTGGTGATGTTGTGTTGTTTTTTTTAATTAGCCCAGATTGTTCATGAAATTGTTTCTCTTTGGGATCCTCAGATATTTTTAGAAAGAAACACAGTTTGAAAACAGACACTTCCTCACTTAGTAGCTGACATGCCTGTTGGGCAGGGAGGGCTTTGATGCAGGACTGAAATGACGCTTGCTGTAGATTTCCTGCAAACTACTGCTGTGCCCAGTCACTGCTGGTTCCTGAGTAAGTTGCTCTGTGCTCACACTGGTCTACACTGGCAACACGTAGACTGAGCCCACAAGTCCTGAAGAGCTTGCTGTCTATGTCTTTGGATTAACATCCCTCTCCAACCCCCTGCCACCCCTAAATTCATGTAATTTCATGTTCATCTTCAAAGTCCACTTTTCCCAGAGCTCTGTCTTCATCTGAATGATCTTACAGTGGTGCATGTCAAACTAAATTACATAGAGACCTCTTGGGGTTCTTACTGAAGTGAACCTTCAGACTCAGTAGGTCGGGGGTAGCCAGTTTCTGCATTCCCATCAAGCTTCCAGCAATGCTTGATGTTTTGTGGGCCACGCTGAACCCAAATTAGAAAAAAAATTCACTTCAAGCCTCCAATGACATTTTAATTTTGCTGTGTTGACTCTAAGCTTTTCTCACTGAAAATGAGGTAATGGTCCTCTAACTCTATTACACAGTGAATGCCACCTTTCATGAGCTTGAACACCGAGCTGAGAGGCCACGGTGTTAGCAATGGAACTATAAGGAGTGAGCCAGGTGAAAAGGGCTTTCTCCTTGCTGGATGTAGCGTGGCTGGGCGCAGACTTTCCGGCCCTCGCTTAGAACACAACTGGCTGCTACTTGGCTGATTTCTAACTCAGTCTAGTTTCCTGCCTGTCAAGTCTCATGGATTAATAGATTTCCTCCTGCCTCAGCCTGTCCCTGCTCTGCCATCTGGCTCATCTCCAAGAAATGGAGGGAGCTCACTTCAGCAGTCTCCATCTAAACCACAAAAATGAATCAAGAGACAAACAGGTGGAAATCCAGGATGTGGTGCGGGTAAGGCCTGGTCTATGAAGAGTTTCTGGGGACCTGATACCTTTCAGAGAGAAAAGGTAGAAGTGTCTACCATGCAGCTGGGAGTGCTGGAGAGGCATCCTGAGAAGTGTGGCTGAAGTCAGGTCTGCTAGCTGAGGGCAATTTCCAGACAGTAAGTAGGCTATTGAATTGCAACGCCTGCATACTTTCCATTTAGGTTAAGGCTTCCCCCTCTTCATAGAAGATAAGCTAATGAGTCCTCTCAGCTGCTCTCTCCCCTCCATTATGCTTCTGTGTAAATATTTACCACTCCCTGTAAACACTTCTAACAATACTTGCCAAGTGATATTTAGAAAATGCAAATTAGAAGGAATCTGATGAGGTGGGACAGGAAATGAGGAGACCTTCTGGGTGATGCTGGCTAGAAAGATACTCTTTCAGACAGTTTGCATTTTCTTGGCAAGTGGAGGCTAACTAATCTTGGAAGCCCCTTTTCACACTTAATATCCTATGAAATGAAGCATTCCAAAGCTAAATACGCAAAATGTGTTAAGAGCATGGACTATTACAGAGGATGGAAAAGAACTGTTACACACAACATGGGTCTCACAGTGTCCAGTTGAATAAGGAGTAACAAACATATTGTATGGTTCTACCAACAAATTGCAGAAAAGATCATTACTCAGATCCCACTCATGCTTCTCGCTCGGTGGGAGTAGATGAGAATCAACTGAAAAGATAATTAAAACTTTTCTAAATGCTAGACTTTCTGTATCTTAACCTGAGTAGTGGTAAGGTCAGTGAACTGTGCACATAAGTACATTGTACACACTTAGACCTCAATACTAAAAAAGTAAAGTATTTACTTTGTCAGTATTTTCCTTAAGACTTCTTTGAAATAATGTACCCTTCTGAGAATGCAGTGAAGGAGTCAGCAGAGGAAAAATAATTTTACTGATAAAATAGGAAATCCACATTTCTGAGGGAAATTAATGAAATATGAAAATAGCTTGACACCTAACATCAGCCAAAAATACTGTGTTCTGGGCCCTCCCTGGGGGTGCAGCAGGTTGGAGCGCTGCACTGCCAAGCTAAGCCAAGCTGTGGCCGCTTCAGTGTGAGTTCGATTCCTGCCCCGGAGGTGACCCACATGGCACGGCAGACCTATCTCATCTGCTGCTCCCTTCAGCGGTATACTTTGTCAATCTGCCTGTTCTTCTTCCCACTCTTTCTAGTGGAGCCTCTTGCTGGCCTGTACCCTATTTCTGTGTGCATGAATAAATAAAATCTTAAAAAAAAAATATTGTGTTCTGAAGTTATTAGATTTGTCAAGACTGGGTGGGCTGGGGGGTGGTATAGGTATTTCTTGTATAAAAGGAAGAGCATAGACTTGAGTTCAAATCCTAATGTTCATACATATAGGCTGGTGACGGTTAGGTGAGTCATAAGTGCTTTGCCGTCACCTGTGTAAGGGACATGAGAATACTTTGCAGAGTTGCTGTCAGGTGGGAATGAGGTGATACACGTGAAAGGGAAGGAAAAACTGTTAAGACAAATGGTGTTTTCTCCTACCCTTTGTCTCTAGAATGTCAGGACACTACGTACTAAAGGTGACACAACCTGTATTTACTTTGTCAGTATTTTCCTTAAGTCTTCTTTGAAATAATGTACCCTTCTGAGAATGCAGTGAAGGAGTCAGCAGAGGAAACAATTTTACTGATAAAATAGGAAATCCACATTTCTGAGGGAAATTAATGAAACATGAGAAGTTCCTCTGATTTTTCTATCCTTAGTTATCACCTCCCAAACACAGTCCTGGTGAGTTGGAAACTTCTTTCTTTCTTCCTTTTCCAAAATAAAAGTTTTAATAAAATAAAAGTCCAAAATAAAAGTGAATATGATTAGCCTTCACGCAAAGGCTAAGGAGCTTGGCATATTCAAGACTCGTGGTTGCAAGTCACTGATCCCCACATCCAGTGGCTTTAAGGAACAAGGAACTCTATCAGAGGTGGCATGGTTTCAAGCCCAGTTTGTTGATGGCAAGAGGGTT